GAGGGTGCAGCTGCTGCAGCTGCCGCCGCCGTTGCCGCCGCCGCCGATGCCGCCACGGGCGGTGACGCCGGAGGCACGCCAACGGAAGCGGCTGGCGCCACCGCCACCACCGCCGCCGCCGCGTCGGCAGCCGCAGCCGCAGCCGCAACCGGGGCGGGAGCGGGAGCAGCGTCAGCGGCAGCTGTTGGTACTTGTGTTTGTGTGTTCGGCGGTGTGTTCGGGTGCCCCGCCAGATGGGGTGATGCACCGGTGGCAGTCAGGGCCGCCGCACGAGCTGCGGCAGCGGCCGCCCTCTCCCGCTTTTGCACTTTCTGCACAGCGGTAGCAGTAGCAGTAGCAACAATAGCAACATCAGTAGCACCAGTAGCAACATCAGTAGCAGTAGCAGCACTAGCAACATCAGTAGCAGTAGCAGCACTAGCAACATCAGTAGCACCAGTAGCAACATCAGTAGCAGTAGCAGTAGCAACAATGGCAACATCAGTAGCAGTAGCAACAATGGCAACATCAGTAGCAGTAGCAGTAGCAACAATGGCAACATCAGTAGCAATGGTAGCAGCAGTAGCAATAACAATAGCAGTAGGTGGGCCGATAGGAGGGACGAGAAAAAGCTCCTCCCACCTCAAACTTCGCCAAACTCCTCAAACGCGTCCACTACCACCACCACCACCACCACACAAATGACAACTCCCCTCTCCCTACCTACCCACCCATCTCTGCCCCCTTTCATCCCTTCCCCGAACCCGCACCTGCAGCAAACTCAGTATCTCCTCCGCCACCTCGCCCATACACGGTCGCTCTCGAGGGTCCTTCCGCCAGCAGGCTTGACAAAGAGCCACGAGCTGTACGACACAGATACATATGAACAGATAGATAGACAGACAGACAGACAGATGGGCAGACAGATGGGCAGGCGGATAAAAAAAGGGGGGACGTGTTGGGTGGCCCAAGGGAGAGAGAACCCAGATGACCAAGACGTGGATCCGACCGGACCTATCTCGCAGTTTCCCCCCACTTTTTCCCGCGGGGTGCTTGGCGGCGCGTGTGTGTATGTGTATGTGTGTGTGTTGAGTTTATGTGGGCGCCTGGAAGTGAAGTTCGTCAAACGACTTTGATCTTGGGGTACGTGTTTGTGTCCGTGCCCGTGTTTATACACACATACAGACGCACAGACACAGACACACAGATAGACAGACGCACAGACAGACAGACAGACATATAGACAGACAGACACACAGACAGACAGAGACGCGCACACACGCATGTCCTCACCTGCGGTAGCTCCGGCAGTTGCGGTTTTATGTCCTCGGGTCGCGGGAAGGTGAGCCTCTTGCCGTCCGAGTACATCCGGTGCATGGCCAGGGGCTCGAACCGGGCGTCTTGGAGCTCCGTCTCCCAGGGCCGCTGCAGGGTGACCACCTGCAGCAGCAATAGGCAGCAGCAGTAGCAGCAGTAGCAGCAGTAGCAGCAGTAGCAGCAACAGCATTAGCAGCGGTAGTAGCAGCAGCATTAGCAGCGGTAGTAGCAACAGCATTAGCAGCGGTAGTAGCAACAGCATTAGCAGCGGTAGCAGCAGCAGCAGTAGCAGCAGTAGCAGCCGTAGCAGCGGTAGCAGCAGCAGCAGCCGTAGCAGCAGCAGCAGCAGCAGCCGTAGCAGCAGCAGCAGTAGCAGCCGTAGCAGCAACAGCAGTAGCAGCGGTAGCAGCAGCAGCATTAGCAGCGGTAGTAGCAGCAGCATTAGCAGCGGTAGTAGCAGCAGCATTAGCAGCGGTAGTAGCAGCAGCATTAGCAGCGGTAGTAGCAGCAGCATTAGCAGCGGTAGTAGCAGCAGCATTAGCAGCGGTAGTAGCAGCAGCATTAGCAGCGGTAGTAGCAGCAGCATTAGCAGCGGTAGTAGCAGCAGCATTAGCAGCGGTAGTAGCAGCAGCATTAGCAGCGGTAGTAGCAGCAGCATTAGCAGCGGTAGCAGCAGCAGCATTAGCAGCGGTAGCAGCAGCAGCATTAGCAGCGGTAGCCGCAGCAGCAGTAGCAGCATTAGCAGCGGTAGCAGCAGCAGCAGCCGTAGCAGCAGCAGCAGCCGTAGCAGCAGCAGCAGCCGTAGCAGCAACAGCAGCCGTAGCAGCAACAGCAGTAGCAGCGGTAGCAGCAGCAGCATTAGCAGCGGTAGTAGCAGCAGCATTAGCAGCGGTAGTAGCAGCAGCATTAGCAGCGGTAGTAGCAGCAGCATTAGCAGCGGTAGTAGCCGCAGCATTAGCAGCGGTAGTAGCAGCAGCATTAGCAGCGGTAGTAGCAGCAGCATTAGCAGCGGTAGTAGCAGCAGCATTAGCAGCGGTAATAGCAGCAGCATTAGCAGCGGTAGTAGCAGCAGCATTAGCAGCGGTAGTAGCCGCAGAATTAGCAGCGGTAGTAGCAGCAGCATTAGCAGCGGTAGTAGCAGCAGCATTAGCAGCGGTAGTAGCAGCAGCATTAGCAGCGGTAGTAGCAGCAGCATTAGCAGCGGTAGTAGCAGCAGCATTAGCAGCGGTAGTAGCAGCAGCATTAGCAGCGGTAGTAGCAACAGCATTAGCAGCGGTAGTAGCAGCAGCATTAGCAGCGGTAGTAGCAGCAGCATTAGCAGCGGTAGTAGCAGCAGCATTAGCAGCGGTAGTAGCAGCAGCATTAGCAGCGGTAGTAGCAGCAGTCGAGGCGGCATACAAATGCACAGGTAGCGGGAGGGCAGGCGAAGGCGACCGGAGGACCGAAGAAGGAAACTGACAGGCGGTTTCCAAACCCTTCCCCCACCCCCGGGAGACTCCGGCGCACCCGGCGAGCCCCCACCCCCTCAAATGCCATCAAGGGGGGGGGTGCCGAGAGGAGAGGCGGGGTCCCCCCTGAGCCATACACAGACAACCTTCCCCCCTCCACCCCTATATCCGTCGTTACCCACCACCGACAAATCCCCGCCGTCGCCCTCCTCACCTCCCACACCACCACCGCAAACGAAAACACGTCGGTGGCCCAGCCATAGTCCTCCCCCGCCAGGTACTCCGGGGACTGCCAACGGGGGCTGCAGTAGTTGTGCGAGTTAGGGACGGTGAGGGCGGCTCCCGCACCCCCGCCTCGCGCCACCACACGACTCAGGTTGAAGTCGCAAACCTGCGTGCGAAGGAATGTGTATAAAAGTATGTCTGTCTGTGTGTGTCTGTCTGTCTGTGTCTGTGTACGTCTGTATGTATGCATATGTGCGTATGTATGTATGTGGGCCCTTTGGAAGCGCAGTACAAATTTATACGAACGAAATTGTTCGTCCGCCAGTATACGAGGCTTGGTGGCTCACACCTTTCACCCAAGCAGGCTGTCAGTAACCTAAAACACCCACCCCCACCCCCAGTAACCCCCCTCCAACACACAACCCAAAAGCAACAACAACAAATTTTTTCGAGTGGGCGGTGCTAACTAACTAACGAAATACCTAACTACCTTGGTAATCCAGCGCCCGTCCTTTTCCTCCAGTAAGAGGTTGTACGACGTGAAGTCGTGATGGATGACGTCACAGCTGTGCATGTACTCCAGGCCGGCGGCTGCACCCCGAAGCACCTCCAACCTCCGCTCCCACCGCCGCAGGAAGTCCGCTCCGTGGCCCCGACGGCGGTGCCCCCGGGAGGCTTGTTGGGCCTTATGGTGAACAAAACCCCCACGCGAGGGGGAGGGTGGGGGGAAAAGACAAACCACGAGCGAATGGGGGGGAGAGGCAGGGAAGGAGGGGGAAATCATATGCACAGGAGGAAATCAGACAAATGAGCTGTGCCTGCGGGGAGGCGTCCAAACCCTCTAAGTCCGAAACTGCCCCCAGTGAGTGAGTGAGTCCTAAGCGGTGTGTGATGTTGCATCGACCCGAGCGTTAGGGAGGGAGGGACGGGGTGAGGAAGGGAAGGGTGAGGGTGGGAGGAAGGGGGGGAGGGCGGGCTACACGTCCTTTCCCCACCCCCTTCCCCTCGCCCTAAAATACCAAAATACCAACAACAACAACAATAACAACAACGGTAGCAACAGCAATAACTGGGAAACAACTAACCGACCCCTCTTTCACGCGATGCGCTGTACGCGGCCCGCCGTACGACACTCGCCGTACCTCCCCAATCATGTCGTACAGAGTTCCCATAGGGCAGTATTCCATCACGATGGCCAGCATGGGTTGATGTCCCCCCCCAGTGCCAAGGACCCCGGACGGCCCGGTGGTGGTGGTGGTGGCCGCGGTGGTGCCAGTGTGTTGCATAGGGCCCTCCACCGGCCCCGGCCCCCCTCGATCCGAAAATTCCCCCAGCAGCCCTGCCTGGCGAGCGGCGTGCTGAATGTACTCCGCACACACGCCTGTACGGAAGGCGGTAGGTGAAGAGGGTGGGTGCAAAACACACAGGAGTGTGAGGTCGAGGTCGAGGTCGAGGAAGGACGGCGAACCACTGGCGAATGGAAGGTGGGCGAGGTGGGAAAAGACAACGGGGCGAGAGGGGGAAGGACGGGGGTATAACGCTCTCACTTGTGCTCTGAGTAACGCTCAAGGTATAACGCTCGCAGTAACGCTCACAGTAACCGCTCACAATAACGCTCACAGTAACGCTTCCAGTAACGTTAGCAGTAACGCGCTCATGACCTTTGCAGTCGCGCCTTCAGTTTAGCCAACCAACGTTGTCAGGCACCCCCCACTCCAGGGGGCCACTCACCAATAAATCGAACTATGTTGGTGTGCTGGTTGAGTCGCTTGTTGAGATCCACCTCGTGCTTGAAAGCACGGAGGGCCTTGTGTACGACAACAGGGGTGTACGGGAGGGGAAGACGAACCACGAACGAGTGTACGAGTGGGGAGGAAACGGGAAAGGAAAGGGCAGGAGAAAGGTCAGCAACATAATATACGACAATTGTACGACACAGTACACGCGATAGATAAGATTGATTGGACGCAATAACAATATATGCTCCAGGAAGAATGTGTGTGTGTGTATGGCGTCTGTGTGTGTGTGTATGGCGTCTGTGTGTGTGTGTGTGGGGGGGGGGGGGGGAAAGAGGGAAGAGTTTGTTTCCATGACAAGATGCAAGTGGGACATGGTCGGTCGTGTAGTCTTTCCCCCATCCCTTCCCCTCTTTACTTGTTTTCAACTACTAACTCGTAACTCCTAACTCCTTTTTAACTAATTAACTAATTTCAACTCCCATACCCCTCGGGTCTCCCTCTTTCCCCCTTCCCACCCCCTAGCAGGCCCCCACGCACCCGCAAGTCGTACTTCATGTCGCGATTGATCCCAATGACCTGAAAGGTGGTGAGGAGGAGGGGGGGGGAGATACGGACAGCCGAAATTCGCAAAAACGAAACGCCATCGGTGTCGATGCGGGAACGGCGCCAAGCAAATCGAGCAGATCAAGTACATTTTGTACGACAGCGTCGCGTACGGCGTTAGAAGGATATGGTCAACACCGCCGTATAACTTGCACTATTTATTCACACATATATTTTCTTCACTACTTTCCTCGTCATCGATTGGTTCCCCACCTCTGCCATCTCCATCTCCTACCATCACCACCATCATCAGCACATCCTCTCAAATTGCTTGTTCCTCCCCCCTCCCCCCTCCCCCCTCCCCCCAATCTTATCCTTGGCATCAGCTTCACTCGCTCATGGTTCGTCTTCTCCCCCCCGCCCCCCCGCCCCCCCGGCCCCCCCGCCCCCCCCCACCCCCTTATTACCTTGATGGCCACCTCCCCGTGGAGGTACATACCGGCAAACACCTGGCCTATGGATCCGGACCCCACGAAGTTGCTCAAGCCCTGAGTCAGGCCGTGGGAGAGATCCCGCCAACGAATGTTCCTGAGCGGGGTGGTGGTGAGGGTGGTGAGGGGTGTGGTGAGGGGTGTGGATGAAGGGGTGTGGATGAAGGGGTGAGTATGGCTATGGCAAGAATGGATGGACGGATGGATGGGTTTTAGGGTTTTAGGGTTGCACATGTGCACGCGCCAGCCGCTTCCTGACCTCCGCGCTCAGCCATTGTCATTGGCCTTAAGGGGAAGAACCCCAAAGTGCCCGACATTACCAACATGGCCGTGTGAAACCCAAGAAGCACGCACACGGAGCTCCCTCACGGGGCTCCCCCTCACTCCCACCAGAAAGGATCTTGCGCGATGCTCCGAAACAGCTCCTTCACCGCGGGATCTGCCAACAAACAGCTCTCGTCCTGCGCGCCGCCGCCGCCGCCACCGCCACGTCCGCCAACAGAGTCGTACCCTTGCAAGCTGTACGACCCGTGACGCCGCATCGCCATATGGCTGTCCAAACCAAACGACAGCGCCGCCGACAGCGACGTGGCGTTCTGTACGGCAGCCGCGGCGGCCGCCGCCATTTCCGCAGCAGCTGGCGCAGCCGCCGTCGCGGCGGCGGAGGCAAAGGCGGAGACGATACCGGCGCTCCGAGAAGCCTGGACGGGAGCAGCGCCGGCGGTGGCGGAGGTGACGGCGGTGACGGCAGTGGTCGTACCGTTTTGCTGGTGCTGGTGGTGCTGGTGGCTGCCGTTGAGTACAAGGGAGCCGTTCGCCTGATGTCCTGAAGCGGCGGCGGCGGCGGCGGCGGCGCCGCCGATAGCGGCAGTGGCCGTATCGACGCAAGGTGGCCTCCAGGTTGAGCCCTGTACGACGGGACCCGAACCGCTGGGGCTGCTTAGGCGAGGAGTCCGATGGCCGCCACCGCCGGCAGCGCCGCCGCCGCCGCCACCCACGGCAGTAGTAGCAGCAGCAGCGGCGGCGGCGGCGGCGGCGCTGCCGCCGGTGGGTCGGCCTACTGGGCCTGTAGCGAACTGCTGGCGGGAAGGGGGGGCCCAGAATGTGAGAGGTAGGAAAGAAAAAGACAAGAGGGGGGGGGCAGTTTTTGAAGTTGCTGCTGCAAACACAGCCATGCGCCGGACTTAGGAGCTCGAGAGCTTTGAGCTTTGGAGTTGACACATGCAGAGCTGGCAAGCCAAGATTTGTAACTTAGGGCCAGCCTAGAAATCAAGATGGTTTCCTTCCTGCGGCAGCCCCTCCGCGGCGTGTGTGTGTCCGTACAAGACAGACCGCAAGTCGTACATCGTACATCGTACAGTACATCGTAGCAGAACAGCGCCATCATATTGACTGGGGCATCGCCATCATCGTCCTTTATGTTCACATGTGCCGTACATACAAAGACCGTACAGCCGTACCTGGAACGAGGATGCTCCGTTGCTGCCGCTGCTGTCACCGCTGCCGCCGTACCCTACCGGTGAGTGAGGCACGGATCCCGACTGCGACGCGGGGCGTAGCTGTGGTTGGTTTCGGAGGTGGGGGTTAGCGACGTCGGAGTTATGGACATTCGCCGCCGCCAATGCTCGTCCAGGAGGAGCCCCCAACCCACCAGAAACCCCAGAGGCTTTGCTGCCGCCGCCGCCGCCGCCGCCATCTGCCGTCGCTTCGCCGCCGCCGCCGCCGCCGCCGCCGCTGACCTGACCCAAGAAGGGCGACGGCACCGCGGCGGCACGTGGCGGCGAGCGTTGCGGCGACGACGCCGACGACTGTTGCTGGGCCAGAGCTTTAAAAGGCGACGAGATGAAGCCGCCGCCAACGCCGCCGCCGACAGCAGGAAGTCCCGGAGCCGCCGCTGCTGCTGCCGCTGCAGCGGCCGCGCGCTGCGCGCCAGATCCGATCTCAAAAGGGGACTTGAGTGCGGCGGTGCGAGTGCCTGGGCCGGCGCCGCCGGTGGTTGCCGGCCGGGTCCCAGTCGCTGCCGCCGCCACCGCCGCCGCCGCCGTCGCCGTCGCTGCCGTTCCTCCCGTACTGCCCCGTGCCACAGACGCCCAAGAAGGACCCGCTATTGCCGACGGCTGCTGCGGCGGCGACTGCAGCTGTGGCGGAGATCGCGGAGACGATGGCCCTAGAGCAATTGGCGAACTGGGCCGTGGCGAAGCGGGTGCCGCGGCGGTGGCGGCGGCAGCTGCCGTTGAGTCGGCGCCGCAGTCGCTCACCACGCTGACGTCATTGTCCGTTACGACGTGCTGGCCCAGACGCGGCCACGGGTCCGGCTGCGACCGGTGCATCTCTTCCTGACCATTGTACGGCAAAGGCGGCGGTGGCGGCGGTTGTGACGCCGCAGCCACCGTTGCGTCCAGTCCCTCCTCTCCACGACTCCGTGACCTACCCCTGCCGTACAGTCGGCCGTGGCCGCGGCCGCCGCCGCCGCCGGCGTGCCGTCCTCTGCCGCCACCACCACCTCTCCCCGAACGGGCCGCCGACTTTGCTGCCGTTGCCGCCGCCACTCGCCGTTGCGCGCCGCTGTTGGGCCCCGGCGTTGCCGACAACCGTACGGATGATGACGACTTGTGCAGTGCTACTGCGCCATTGCCGCCGGCGGTGGCTGCGGCAACGGATGCTACTGCCGGCTGCTGCGGCCGCTCGGTACCCCCAGCGTCGATACTGCTTCGAGAGGTCCGCAGGGGTACGGCTCCGCCACTGACGGCGGCGGCCGTGGACGCAGCGGCGTCAGATGAGGGCTGCGGCACCGTCAACAAAGCCGCCTTCCAGCTGCCGCCGCCGGCCGTCGTCGGCGCCGACGGACCGCCAACGACAGCAGCGGCGTGAACGAAGGCTGAGGAACCCCCAGCTGCAGCACCAGCACCAGCAGCATCGTACGGCCTGCTGTACTGCCAGGGCGCCGTCGGTTCCGGGCCTTGTGCCGATGCTGTCGTACCACCCGAGATGCCCAGCTCTAACCCGCCCCAACCCCCCGAAACCCCCCGGGCGATCGGCTGCAGTGGCTGCTGTAATTGCTGCTGCTGCTGCAACTGCCAGGACGGCAGCGTCTGCTGCTGCTGCTGGTACGGCAGTTGCAGCGGTGGCTGGTGCGAACGGCCTGACGGCAACGCCGGCGCTGCCCGTGTGGCAGCGTGTCGTCCACTCGGCGGGCCCCCAACCGCCAACGGCCCACTTCGGCCATAGGCGCCGCCGCCGCCGCCGCCGCCAGCCGCTAATCCCCCATTCGAGGCGGAGGGCGGCACGGCAGCGACGGCAGCGCCACCCTGCCCGGCGGGCAGTCGCGACAGCGGAAGTCTCGGCCCTGTCCCTACGGTCCGCCGTACATTTATTTGCCGTCGTACGGACAGCAACCCATTGACGACGCGCCGGGTGAGGTTGGTGTAGTCTGACCATGTGGAATGGAGCCAGCACTGCGTCGTCCAGTCGTCCAGTCGTCCAAAATTTAAATGATAATAATCAGGCATGTAGGAGTTCCCGTTAGGAAAGGGGTCTTGGATATCACATTGCAAAAAGTTTTACAAAATGACAAAAAAGTTGCTTAACTTGTAATTTGTCACTTGTAAAATACATGAGATCATAATTACACGACAAACAGGGATAGGATAACGTAAAACACAACGCCAAAATGTTGTTGGCGGCACAGCCTAATAGCTATCTCAATTTTATTGTCCCACGCTAAGCACGTAACTTAATGTCTAACTCAATGTCGGGTTGTTATTGTACTTCTTCTCCGTACTAATCCCGGCACGAGGGGGAGTAACAGTAACAGTAACATGCATCGTGTTTTTGCGCCTCCCCTGTGCCCAACGAACGATTTTAACCAACTACCACAACCACCAACCACCCCAACTGCAATTTCCACGGGCCTGCCCGCTCGAACCGTCAGCCACCCAGCCGTTCCCACCATCCCCGACTGGTTGGTTACGCCTTCTTTACTTCTGACATCGCATCAGTCTATCCTTGCCATCAGCTTCACCTTCGTTCACGTGGTTCGTCTTTCCCCCCGATCCCCCGGGTCTTTCCCCCCGATCGCCCCGGTCTTTCCCCCCGATCTTTCCCCCCGATCTTTTCCCCCCGATCTTTCCCCCCGGTCTTTCCCCCCGGTCTTTCCCCCCGGTCTTTTCCCCCGGTCTTTCCCCCCGGTCTTTTCCCCCGGTCTTTCCCCCCGGTCTTTCCCCCCGGTCTTTCCCCCCGGTCTTTCCCCCCGATCTTTCCCCCCGGTCTTTCCCCCCGGTCTTTCCCCCCGGTCTTTCCCCCCGGCGGCGCACCTGCGTCTCCTCGGACAGCTCCCCCTCCGTTTGCAGCATGTCCAGCATGTCCCCCAGGCCGAGGGAGGAGTGCTCGTGGCTGTGGATGAAGCGCAGGGCCGCCTCCGCGGCGTCGCGAACAGACTCCAGCGCCCACATCGGCAGCGGACCGGAGCCGCCTTTTCGTACATGTGTACGCATGTAGGATGTATGTACGTGTAAGTGTACGTGTACGTGTATACATTTACATAGATATATACATGTGTGTATATATACAGGGAGGGAAGGCACAAAAGAAAGGAAGATCGCCCGCCCGCCCGCCCGCCCCGGGGGCAGAAGAGACGAAAAATACACGAGGTAGGTGTACATGTAATGTTACAGAGTGGGAGGCTTCTGGGCCGCTTAATGACATTGTCAATTCTACCTACGGCAGGAGTACGAATGCGAAGGTGGTAGCGGCTGCGATAGGAATCAATCAACTCACAAATACAGTTAAACCGTGTAAACCAAGGATAGATAGAACACCAAGGAAGTGGAAATAAGGCACAGGCGGTTTTGGCGGGGGGGGGGGGGGAAAGACGAACCACACACGATTGAAGCTGCTGCCAAGGAGGATGGGCGGGGGGGGTAAGAAAGACGAACCACACGTGAACGCGTGAAGCTGATGCCAAGGAGGATGGACTAGGGGATATACGCCTCTAGAGGTAAGTAACTACAAGTACCTCAGTCAACAACCAGTCGCGCGACTTTTGTAAAGGAGGAGTCTTAGGGTTGGGTTGACGGGCAGGTATTTTGGAATTGGGGTGGGGGTTGTTGGAATGGAGAGTGGAATGGATCAACGTATGTATAGACCTAGCGTAATGCCATGCGATATTCCTAAAAAGTACTACTATCGTACATATGCACACATCATACACATACCTGCACACAGCCGTACAGTCCGCCTCAGATTCGCCAAACACAGCTCCGCAAACGTTTGCTGCATCTCGTCCAACAGGATCCACAGTTCATCAAGTTGCTCGTCCGACAGCTCGTACGACGACGCCACCGCAACCCCTAACGACCCCGAGCCGCCAGCGGAGCCATAGAGCATCATCTCCAGGCTCGCCGCCGCCGCCGCCGCCGCCGTCGTCCCGGCGGCCTCGTCGCCGCCGCCGCCACCCTCGCCGCCGCCGCCGCCGCCAGTTACGCGATCCACCATGGCAAGCTCGTTGCGGAGATTCCTGTGGGCCTCAGACGCTCGGTTTAAGAGCACCTGAGGCGCGGCGGGTTTAACGCGGGTTTAACGTTTCGGTCGGTTGGAGCGTTTGGCCGAAAGAAGAACTCTACATATTCTGTAAAGAAGAAAGAACTCCTTACCTTACCAGTATTTTTTCATGACGCTGTCCGTGGGGCCCCCTCAGGCTTTGATGGACACACCCCCGCATTCGCCGCGTGCGGCGGAACCCATAAACTTATAATAATAACTGCCTGAGCAGCATTTCAACTTGTATAACTTATAACTTTATATAACTTGAGAAAAATTTGTGTATCAGTCCCAAAATACTACGAAGGGCATGATGCAAAACATAGTAGGAGCCGGATTTTACATATTGCAGAAAGGGGAACGCCATTATGAAGGGAGGGGGGAACGCGGTGTCATGTATGCGCTTTGTGTGTGTGTGTGTGTCTGTGTCTGTGTGTGTGTGTCTGTGTGTGTGTGCGCCAGGGAAGGGTTTGCCGAGAGGTTGGGAAGGAATTTGGACGACTTCGGAGGAGCTTGTGGGAGCTGCACTGCACTGCACTGCACTGCACTGCACTGCACTGCACTGCATTGCATTTGTTTGGTACAACCCATATTGATTGTAATCGTGATAGTGATGGTGAATGGGATGGCGGGGAGCCTTTACGTAAAACACAACTATATCGATAGGATTTCACGGTCTCAGTGATTTGAAACTGGAAACTGGAAACTGGGCTACTACACTGGGCTCGTACGACGCAAGTTGATGAGCGGGGTAGAGAGAGGGGGAGCTTATTGGGTGTGGGCCAAGGAGACCTAAGTCCCAGCCAACAAAACCAGCCAACAAAACCAAAACGGTTTTTTTCATACCTGCAGCAACGACGGCACCCAGGCTTGAGCCTGAATCTCCTCCTTCGTCACAACGCGCCGCCGCCGGCCCCGCCCGGCGCCGGCGCCGCCGCCCCACGCCCCAGCGGCGCCGCCACCCCACGCCGTCACCGCCAAGGCACCGCCACCGCTGCCGCCATTGGGGGGGCCCCCCCTGATGCCGAGGCTGCAGTCACTGTTGAAGCCCGACGATAAGCTCATCATGCCGTCCGGGTCGTCGCCGTCGTCCCCGTCGCCATCGCCGTCGCCATCGCAAATGGTGTCCTCCGTCGTTTCCGTGGCCTCATCCACACCAGGACCACCGGTCTCGCTTCCCGCGCGGCTCCCCGGCTGGGTCGAGAACGACCCACGGGTCATCTTGAGCGCCAACAGTCCCGCCTTTTCGTACGCGTCGCAAAGCTCGCTGTACAGCGACAGACGTTGCGGGCTGTAGCGCTTGGCAATACGGTCGGTCTGCTCGGGAATGTGGTGGCAGTGGAGCAAGGAGGCCCTCTTATTGAGTGGCGAATTGGAGTGAAAACCAAATAGTCAAGACCCTCCTCCCCGCCCCCGGCCAACATCCATGCCCTTTCATTTCCCCCCTGACCAGCCCACAAACGCCGCATGACAGTCACTCATGGCTGTTCAGATCGCGCCACGGAGGCCATCCGGTCTCGCAATCACTAAAAATAAACCACCAACTACCAACCACCCACGTAAATGCGCGGAATCTCGGGACTCCCGTACAACTCCCAACTCCCAACCACATATACCCGCCTGGCGGCTCGCCTCCTCCCAGATGGCAACCAACCGCTTGGCCTGAAGGGGAGCGGGGGGGGGACGAGGGATTATTATGATATTATGATTCACCGGTCATGATTGAATGTGTGTGTGTGTGTGTGTTTTGAATCATTCAAAACCTTTGCTAATGCAAATTTGCAAAAATCATACATGAAGTGATGTCCCCCAGTTAGTGGCAGCCACAGCCAGGTTTTTGTTACCTTCATCAACTGCCTGTTTTCCCCCCCCCCGGACGAACCTGACTGCTCTTCTCATGTACAAAGCTGTGCGGTGACAGCGACCCCCGGGTCAGCAACACCGGGGCAGCGGTCTCAGCGGCGTGGATACTCGCACGGGCAAGCTTCAAGGAAATCGCCTGCAAAGGAGAGGACCGTACGGCAGTGTACGGCACAGCACACGCCCGCACAGAGATCAATATGTTGATTAAGAGCAGCCGTGCGTGCGTCTGTGTATGTGTGCCTGCGTGCTTGCGTGTGCGTGTGCGTGTAGGTGTGTATGTGTGTTGTACGACCTCCGTGGAGACCTTCGCACTTATTATCACTCTTTTAAGTGGTGATGAATGTCAGTGTAAGTGAACTATGTGGACAGGGTGAAATGGTATTTCTTCCCCTCCCAATCGCAATTAAAACATCTACCCAGGCCCATCAGCCCATCACCCCGGCCGGCATCAGCCCTCGTCAGCGCCTACTCCCATCCCATCGCCCCTACGGGTCCCGCTACCGCTACCGCTTTTCCCCTATTTTTCTTTATTTTATTTTATTTTTAATTCAATGTTTTGTATTTTTATTTACAAAAAAATCCAGCACCTCTCCTCTCCTTCAGTCACGCACCCACCTGGCATCTGTCCAGCATCCCCCTGGCCTCCGGACTGTCCTTACCGCCCAGGTCGTCACTGTGGAGGAGCAATTTGGGAGTGAGTTGGTCAGGAGGGCGGGGGGTTCGGAGGAGGGGGGCTTCGTGGTGATGATGATGGCGATGTGAAGGTAGGAAAGGGAGAAGGGGTAGAAGGGTAATAGACAACGGGAAGGAAACATACTTGGGAGTTTGACCAAA